TGGTTTATCTGCTCCAGGTTCTGGTTTATCTGCTCCAGGTTCTGGTTCTGATGAGATCCTGGTTCAGCTCCAGGTTCTGTTCGTTCTGCCTCAGGTTTCCGCAGCTCGAGCCGATGCCTCTGATTGGTCAGACGCGTCCAGGCTGCAGGTGATTGGAGGAGAGCAGAGCTTCCTGTCTGGGCGGGTCCAGCTTCCAGCTTCCTGATTGGGCGGGTCCAGCTTCCTGTGTGGGCGGGTCCAGCTTCCTGATTGGGCGGGTCCAGCTTCCTGTGTAAGTTTAGCCTCATTGTTTTAGCTTTTTGTGAAGCATAATATTTAAAATGTAGTCAAAAAACAAAAACTGATTCAATAATGAGTATTTCAAGGCCCTTAATGTGGAAACTGGCTGATTTTAGTGGAACCATTTCATCCAAAATGAAACCCAAACGTCACTTTATACTTCATCAGATTGTGTGTTTTAAAATAACTGGTTTTACTGGGGTCAATGGGACATTTCTGACTTATGAGGGCAACAGATTTCAAATCTGAAGCTGCACAAAAACTAACAAGACCTCTGCATTTTTGCTCATCCTGGATTTATTCATTCAAACAAATGTAATATTTAACCTAAAAGATCAGCTTCATGGAACCAAACTGCCATTTAAAGGGTTAACATCCTGAAAATCATTCTAAATTTCATCATTTTCATAAGAAGTTTTAGCATTCAGCAAGAAAAGGTGAATATTATATAATATTTTTCAGCAGTTTCGGGACATTTTTGTTCTTACAGACTTGAGTTCCTTGCAGTGGTTTTAATGGGACGCTACACAGAAAGTGAAACTGCTATAAAATCCAAGCTTTGGCTAATTTTTGCCATATCAGCGACTGATTTAAAAACACCCCCCCCAACAAATATTTGTTAAACTAAAACAACTTTCTGTTCTTTTCCATAAAAGCCAGTGACATTGTGACACCAAACTGTTCTTTAAAGAGTCGAAACCTTTAGGAGTTTTCCTGGTTTTTGCTTTTGAGCAGAGCTGAAAATGTTACATTTCAGAGGTTTATGCAGAAAAGATTTAATATTAGCAACATTTTTGTCCTTAATGAGTCTTTTTGGTCGTAAACTGAGGGTTAAAAGGTTAAAGTCATGGTCAGGATTTGAACCAGGACTGAAGTTTTAAAGATTTAGCTAAAAAAAAACAAGAAATTATTTATCTGTGTTACTTTTGCTGCACTTTTTGGGAATGGTATCGTTTTATAGAACCTTTTCTTTAAACACAAGTTCAAATTGGAAGACTTCAGAGGGTTTGGACTCATGAATTAAAATGTTTTCAGTTTTTCATCCCAGTACATCCCATCTGGAAAACTGGGGTTACAGTAGGCCGCAGGCCTTTAAAGTCCTTAAAAAGGCCTTTAAAGAAGGCTTTGAAGGCTTTTAAAGTCTCTAAAAGGGCTTTAAAGGGGGCTATAAAGGCCTTTGTAGGCTTAGAGGGGCTATTAAGGTCTTGGCTTTTAATATATACCTTTAAATAAAATACCTTTAAAGGATTTTAATATCTTTTCAAGCCTTTACAAGGCCTTTAAAAGCCTTTTAAGAAGTCTTTTAAAGTCTTTTAAAGGGCTTAAAGGGGGATATTAACTCATTGACTGCCAGCCATTTTCAGAACAGAGAGTCGCTCACTGCCAGAGTTTTTTGAGAATTTTGACAGATTTTTCAAGAGCCACAGAATAGTTTGTGCTTTGACTATGTAAACACCAAACACACCAAAAGAAAGAGGAGACTCTCTTCTATCATCAGGAAAAAAAATTTTGTTTCTACCTTATTCCGTTCTTCTTCGACGTGCGTCTCACCGGCGCCATTTCTCTCATAGCGAACCATTGCGTTTGTTTTTATTTGCTTACAATCTATGCTAATCTCCCATCAAAAGTGGCACAGCTACCTAGAGGGTAAATTTGTTACTACATACTCTGTCTAGAAGCCGATATTTACGGAAAAACTTTCGCCGATCGTCCCCCAAGTTACTCGCAATTGAAAAACATAAAAGACGTCTATAGACGTCTTTGGCAGCGAATGAGTTAAAGGCCTTAGTAGGCTTTAAAGGAGCTATTAAAGGCTTTTAATGGCTTTCAAAGGCCTTTAATGAAAGCTTTTAATGGCGATTTAATTCCTTTAAGGAATTTCAATAGCGTTTAAAGTCTTTTGAAGGGCTTTAAAGGCTTTTAAAGGGGGCATGTAACACATGGTCTCACATCACACAGCCATTGGCTTCTGTTAATTCTGCGTAAAAACTGTTACTCTAGTTCAGCTTAACTTAACAAACTGCACAGCTTGGATCTAAGAAGAGTGGTCAAGATCTGCCATCTACTCCGACAGCAGGAGGCTGAAGGGAAGAGTCCAATCAGAGTCCTGAAACAGACTCCCGCTGTCTCAGCAGCAGCAGCTTCGGTCAGCGCGCTCGGGGTTAAAGGTCAGGTCCTGGAGGAGGAGCAGGAAGTCCAGAAAGGAGGCTGGAGAGGAGTGGGGGGGCTGTCGGACTACAGGATGGAGAGGTGCTCACAGCTAGGGGGAGATGAGTTAACCCTAAGAGATGACTGCTGGGCTCAGAGCTCTAGCTGGAGATGGACAAGATGGCCGACGTGTCTTTAGCCTTGTCGAAGAAGATGGAGCCCTCGCTGGCGCCCTTCAGCTTGACCTGGGCGGCGCCGGGGGGGGCCTGACCCGCCGGCTGGCACTCCTGGCAGCAGCAGCAGCAGCAGTCCATGAAGGCCTGGCCCAGAGCCTGAAACAGAGGAGCTCAGTCACACAGCAGCT